AGATAAGAACATGCACATTATTTACAAGAATTATGCTAAATATTGAAGAAAGACCTAGAGTAAAAAGTAAGGAGGAATCAAGAAAAAGTTGACCAGGGACTGCTGCTTTTCATCACAACTTGTCCTGTTTGGCTTTTAACAGTATGTATTAGCAAAGTGAAAGTCGCTCAGCCACATCTGACTCTTTGTGACCACATGGATAGTCCATGGAATTCTCTGGGCCAGAATACTGGAGTGGGCAGCCATTCCCTTCTCCAGGGGATCTTTCCAACCCAGGGGCTGATAGGGATCAAAGTTAGGTCTCCTACATGCAGGTGGATTCTTTACCAGCTGAGCCAACAGAGAATTATAAATGAAAAATACATTAGAAAAAGCATCATCTGTTGGAACCAAGTCTTCCACATGGAAAAACCAGTCTATCTGCAAATCAACAGGCAAGATTTGTTAAAATGCACAGCAAATCTCATTTAAGGATTACAAACTGAGGACTCAATTGTGAATTAGTTTCATAATAGTGAATTTGGTTAAATTACAATGCAAATGAGATTTTTCAATTGATATTTTAATGATTTCTATAATCCTTTATCTATTTATTCTAATGTATCCAAAAATTATAGCTTAAGCTTTTCCTGCAACCATATTTTGCAGTGGGGTGAATCTCTATGTATGCATCGTATTATACACATAGACTAGAGCCCTTCAAACAAGCCTTTACCTCCGGGCTTTTCCTGTCTGTGGGGAACTCTTCCTTCAGTGAATTTACAAAGCACCAATCAGTCATTCATTCATTCATTCAACCAATATTATTAAATACCTACCATGCACCAGATCCTAATGCAACATCTAATTTTTAAACCTCATTTATTTCCATTTAATACACAGAACCAACCAGTTGGAACAGCTTAACCAATGGGCATGCCAGCTGGGCTTCCCAGATGGCTCAGTGGTAAAGACCACGCCTGCCAATGCAAGAGATGTAAGAGACACAGGTTCAATCTTTGGGTCAGGAAGATCTCTTGGAGAAGGAAATGGCAACACACTCCAGTATTCTTGCCTGGAAAAATTCCATGGACCAGAGAAGCCTGGCGGGCTACAGTTCATAGGTCACAAAGACAAAGAGTCAGACACAGCTGCGCACGCATACAATCGATGGACATGAAGTTAACGATAACCTCTTCATTCAGGGTCTGAGCCTTCTACTGGATGTTGTTTTTGTTGTTATTTGCTTTTTTTGTGTGTTTTTTGGCACATCATCTTCCCAGTACACTGAGAGCAATATGGGTAGCAGAAATAGTATACGACCAGAGGGAGTGAGATCACCTGGGTTCTGATCATTCACTGGCCACAAACTTATTGGGACCTGGGTCAACGTCCCTTGACATCTCTGGGTGTCAGGTTTCTCCCAGTAAAGAGGTGGGATAGTATTATATAAACTTCAAGACAGACACAACACTCAGGCCTTGATACACATGCCAACTCCAACTGATTGGTAAAGTCTGCTACTGGCCCGTTTTAGGACTCTTCTCTGTTAGCTATGCCTACTGCAGGACCAGGGATCACAGTGGTATCCACAGACCTACCAGCCCTGCTCTGCTTTTCCAAAATATTCTGTGATCATATGAGAAAGAAGGTTTGACATATTCTCACATTAAAGATATATGATCAGCTTGAATTTCCTATGCATGTTTTCTGGCTAGTAGAAGGAATAAAGAAGGAAATACCTAAAAGGCAGAAAGGCAGCCAGGAGGAGAAAGTGAGAAAACAGGCGGTGGATGATATCAAAATGGGTAAGGAGTCTTCAATATATTCATACTAACATATTTTAAGTATTTGGATTTTCCTTCCAACACACAATTTTGAAATGCTATCTGTTTTTCATTATGAGCCTAATTTGTTAAATCTATTACTCTTGGCTAGATTTCAGGTGGATTATAAACAGCTAATGTAGGCAAGTGAGAAATATCCACCAAGCCTCTACTGAAGCCCGTGGTCCCAAGGGGAACGTCTTCCGCCCATCGTAAAGGACAGAGGCCCAGAGCTGCCCACCCACTCAGTCCTCCAAGAGGGGACATCAACATACAAACACACTCTCCTTTCTTGCTCTTGACCCTTGTACTGAAAAGATCATTCAGATTTAAAATGTCTAAATGATTCTAATTTAGGCTGGGTTCTCTTAGATTCGGGGGTAAAAACAAGGACACACACACACAAATTCCAAGTTTTCCACTTGGAAAACTTTCAGTGTTGAATGCCACACTCTGAACTGCCACAGTGAGGGGGGTCTACACCTGATCTGCTTTATTTTCCTCTCTTTTGTCATGTTCTCTGTCCTCAACCCAAAGGCATGTAAGTATCTAGGTACAGGCACAGACACACACGATACAGATATAGATATGCAGTTTCCCAAGTGAAAGCATCTGACCTCAAATCCCCATCAACCACTTACCACTGAGGCTGAAATAATACTCAACTAATGTCAACAAAACCTGGTATTTCAATAATAAGTTAAGGAAACGAAAGGCAAATGTGACCCTCACACTGCAGAAGTTCTAAAGAAACTCGTCTTTTCTTCAGGTTGCTTGACTGACCCACATACAGGCACTGGTTTGGATGGACCGCTCAGACGGTAAAGGATCTGCCTGCAATGAGGGAGGCCTGCGATTGATCCCTCGGTCAGGAAGATTCCCTGGAGAAGGGAATGGCAACCCACTCCAGTACTCTTGTCTGATAAATTCCATGGACAGAGAGAGGAGCCTGGTGCCCTACACAGTCCATTGGGTTGCAAAGAGCTGAACATGACTGAGTGACCAACACTGTTACTTTCTTTCACTTTCCGTCTAGGTGGACTGTAACATGAACTGACCATTATCAACTGCGTCTACTCTGAGCTCATCTTCCTTCAATTTTTATATTGCTGATAATAATTTGCATTTATGTAGCAAACAAGATTGAACACAGCATTTGAAAACCGTATTATGCAGCTTGATCTTTGGTGAGTCACTGGTGTTGTAAGTGGGAATAACAAACGTCCGAAGGCAGGACAGTCTGAGCTGCCTCCACCACCTTCTAAACCCTATGCTGGCAGCAGGCCCATCAGGCCGTGTCTCTCCTCTAAGCAAAACCCTGTTTTGTTGATTTCGCTGTTTCAAATTAAGGCAGCTCCAGGTAGCCTCTCAGACATGTTCTCTATTCTTGGCAGCATCATAAGTGATTATTTTATTTCTCCTTAAATTAATTCCCCTCTGCCCTTTCACTTTGGTCACACCGATAGGAACAGAGTGAAGGGATGAAGTGGGTACTTAAATAGTTCATCTCATTAGGGGATTGTAAGTAAGAAAATATGGGAGACCCCTGTAAATCAACAATTACTCAAGAATGCAGGTTTGCTTAATCACAAAACCAAGCAGGCCTGCTCAGCAACAAAACCATGCAACAGAATCATGAGACATGCCCCAAAACAATAAAACAATGGTGGCATGAGACCCACATCCTGCCCAGGGAGCTCAGTAAGTTAGGACATGCTCTCTGTACACACAAAAAGCAATAATTGGTGGACCTAGCTTGACCTTGTAGGGACAAGAAAACTCCCCTGCCCAACCTGCAGGAGGAACTGATGATGGAAGCATTGCATCTACTCAAGAATAACAAAGATCTTCCACCCCTCTCCACTTTTCCTTTGATTTTAAAACTGCAGCCCAGTAAGTTCTGGGCATGGCATCCTCTCACCTGCTCACCTGTAACCCTCACAAGCATCCTATTCTAATAAATCACTTCTTATCTCTTTGCCTTTTGCTAAATGTTTTCCGCACTGGAAAGATAAGGGACTGTGGTACCTGAGTTCTTCTGAGTCTTCGAAACAACACTGAATCGTTTCAGCACTAGTCTACTGAAGTTATCGATGACAAACCTGGCTGAGTCCAGCAAACCTTGAGTCAGCAAACTATGAGTATGAGTCAGCAAACCTTGGTGCTACTCATACGCCCTCTTGTCTGAAGATGGAGATGACTAGATGACTCATTTGACAATGGAGAAATTACACTGAGCTACATAGTTCTGTGTAGACTTAGCATCATTGGCTAGTTACAAACTGTAGCTATAAACCGTGCCCAGTATGTCTGAAAATGGGGATAAATCCATCCATCTGCCATCTGTTCAATCACAGAGCCTGGAGAGACCTAACATGGAAATTTTTGACTTTTTTACTTAGAAGCTCAAACACTGTTAGGGTCATTATCAAGCTGTTACTTAATGGTGGCCAGAGTCAGCCATGGAAACTGCCAAGTCAATCAAGTCCAGGTCAGGGTGTGGGTCTAGTTCTAGGTGAGCACTGCAAATTCAACAAAATTTCAAGGGGTCATGGATCAAAATTCAAAGGTCAGCCTCTGCTACATCCCACCTCTGGTTTTGTGGAAGATGATAAGGCAAGTTGAGTGATGCTATTCTTGGTCCCGCATTAGCTGAACGTGGAACAGCATAACGTTCAGGTCTGAATGATATAAATGAAATTTTCCTCAATAATAACAGCAAATCATTTTCATAAAACAGACTTCTAATTCACCCCACTTCAACTTTCTTGTTCTGGGAACATTACTGCACACTTCAAGATACACACGCTCTCCTTTATCTACTGTAGAGAAACACACACTTCCTTGGCAGTTCAAATAGTAAAGCATCTGCCTGCAATGCAGGAGACCTGGGTTTGATCCCTGGGTCGGGACGATCCCCTAGAAAAGGGAATGGCAACCCACTCCAGTATTCTCGCCTGGAGAATCCCACGGACAGAGAAGACTGGCAGGCTACAGTCAGGCTACAGGGTTGCGAAACGTCGGACACCACTGAGTGACTAACACAACATATGTGCACACATAAAGTAAGCCGCACATCACCATATTTAAGGGTACATTTCCACAGCATTAAATGCATCAGCACAGCTGTGCACACTCTCAGTATAAAGCAGACCTCCCGCCACACCCCATTTTCATGAAGGATACCTTACTCACCTCTCACTTCCTGTTGCTGATACTCTCTGTTTTTAAGGATGGGGTGTGAAATCCACATCCACGGGTGATGTTTGCGCAGCTGGGGGAGCAGGTAGTGGGTTACAAACCCCACGGCTCCAGCCAGGACGAAGAGCACAATGCTGAGAAAGGGCTGCAACAGAAGAAGGTAAGAGTCAGTGTATAGCTGGAAGCATGGGGAAGGATGCCTGTAAATAACCCAGAACCATAACTATGCTCCTTCCCTGCTCCTCCCAAAGCACACACAGCCAAACTCAGCTCTTGCTTCAGGCCTCTGAAAATTTCTCCCGTAGCACTTGAAACTGGTCTCTGCATTGAGAACCACCAAGACGGAGTGCAGAAGTGGCTGAGACATGCTGCCCATTACAATACTTTTTCTTGCTTTTTTTTTTTTTTAAAGATGAGATGGAGAATAACAAATTTAGCTAACAGACTTTTCTTCACTGATAGAAAAATGAGACAGCAGCTGTCTGCAAGAACCTCTAGCCAGAAATCCCATCTGGCTCACTATACTGCTGTTTTTCCAGCTGAAAATTATATTCCAATAATCGCTTTGGCTCTGCAACTTCCATCTCATTCCTGATTTGGTGAGTCCTCCCTTCTCCACTCTTAGCAGTGAGCTGTGATCCTGTCATGACTGTTGACCATCCTCATGGTGGATTCTATAAAATATGCTAACCAAACAATTCCCTGGATGGGAAACAGTAAGGGTAAAACATCTGGATCAACTCTGTGTTGTGGACCAAAACTCATCTCAGACACAACTCAACACGCCTAGATATATTCCTCCAAGCTCTCTATTCTCTTCTGTTCTTCCTCTGGCTCCACTAACCTCTCAATAGCCTGGAGCTGCACAGTGGGCTCTGTTTATTACAGGCAAGGAGGAGAGGGGAAGAGTGCAAAGCCAAATGGATACATACTCGCAAGGACAGGAACACAGTGCTGGCACTGACCGCAAAGGACAGAACGGCAGCCACCGAGCAGATGATGAGATCCGATTTTAAGATATCCTTCTGCAAACAGAAAACAACTGTACAGTTTGCTCTCCTGTGTTTCTCTCAGCAACCCTGGGGCACCAGGTAAATCAGGTGACAGGATCTTAACCCCTGGATACGCTACATACCTGATCTATTCCCAATGGCTCACGCTGGATGGACCATTCAGCACCTCCCATGTGGGGAATGTCAGGGAAACTAAGGCAGAAGGGGGGCAAGAGGAAATACAGACTGCCATGCCTCATCCACTAGCCAGGGAGAGAAGATTTTCTACACGTGCAAGAGGCATAAAGTTCTTCTTGACAATCACAGATCAGATGCAAAGTGCCCAGGTCTAATAAAGATGGGTAAAGTGCTAATAATCTCCACTGGGCTTTGGCGTGGCTTGTATTTTAATGTGCACGCAGCCTAAGCCAGACAGAGGCCTCTTACGCATTTACATTTTTGTTTGCTCCTACATAGATTTTACATTTTAATTCAGTTAAATTAGGTAAAAGTGACTTCCAAATAATCTAAAGTATATTTATATTATGTACACGTATGCAGGAAATGAAATGTCAGTAACTTGCTACTTATTTTCCATCACACAAAATTGTGTAGTGAGCAGGCATAAGGGAAAACAAAGCAAAGTTAAACCAAAGAATGTTACTAATACTGCAGACACATGGAAAATGGCCTGGTAGCTCAGTAGGGTACAGTGTTGGCTGACAGAGCTAAAAGGAGTATTGGGAGATCATTAAATGTTTTCTTTCTACAGAATCCAATTAGCTGCAGTACATAATTACTGAACATATTAAGGTATCACATTGTTATCTGAAAACTCTGAAATCATCAGTTTAAATATATCAATATATCATGTCAAAAATGAATTATGCCTCTTAAATAATTATTTTGAATGTTACCTGCCAGAAAATCATACAGAATATACATCTGTTTCCCCATAGCCTCCCTTCTTTTCTTTTTGTACAAACCATATACCTGTTTACCTACATTCCCTCCCTACCTTTATCTTTTCCTGTCTTTTTAAAATTAAAATCTGGAGTTTCTTGCAAGTCATGCTGCTGATTTTCTGACTGAATTGTCATCCAAAGTGACAGGAAGAAATCAGGAGGACTGTTAAATGCAGTAAAAATGACCTAAACCATCTGATGAAAAATCAACATGGCTTTGTCAGGATAATCTATAATACAATGAAGAGATCCACTCTCAACATCAATTTACCAGTTAGCTGCTAAAGTTGCTTTGCACTTCCTATCTCAAAAGTTTACAATTCATATACAAGTACTGAATATATGAGCTATCAAATAGTGATAAACAAAATTCTGGATTTATTCTTAGTAATGGTAATCTGATTTTTGAGCAGGAAAATCACTGGTTTTTAATTCTGAATCTATAAACTTTTGCATCATAAGTTTTCTCAAAAATTTACTATTAGTAAATGGCAAAAATCTAGTTATCTTCTTTCATTCTAAATGCTTGAAAGAAGGCCAAACTCTCCCAGAGGGAAGTTCTATAATTCACTGCATCTTCAGGCTGTGGAGATTTATTCATTTTTTTTTACTTTTTTTCATTGACATGGTTTATGTCATTTTAAAATTGCTGATGCTTATCCAAAAGAGAGATATACATTTCCCCAAACATTCTATCTTAAAATTATCATTTAAAAATTTTTTTATTTTGTATTGGAGCATGGTTGATTAACAATGCTATGTTAGTTAAAGTATGCCATTTTTAAATGACCTGCTTAAAATTGTTTAAAGGCAATTTCAATCAAAATCCTAGTAGGATTGTTTTTTATTTTATTTTTTTACAAATTTGGAAGTTAATTCAAAAGTTTACTTGGAAATGCAACAGACCTAGACTGGGGACTAGGTAAAACAATTTTGAAAAAGAAGAACAAAGTTGGAGGACTTTCAATATCTGATTCAGAAAAGGCACGCGCAAAACTATGGTAATCCGCTATCGGTGGCATTGCCACAAAATTGACATTGAGGCCACCTGAACAGAAAAAAAAATCCAGAAATAGGCCAACATGTAAACAGTCAACTGATTTTAAACAAAGGGGTCAAGGTAAAAATGACACCTTTCCCCACAGTAAGGTAAAGGAAAATTTTTTTCACCTGATTCTGGTTTAGTTGGATAGCCATTTACAAAAAGAAAACAATAACAAAAAATCTCCTTGACACCTCACATCATGCACAAACGTTAACTCAACTGGCATCATAAACCTAAACTATCAAATTCCTCAAAGAAAACATAAGAAGAAATCTTAGTGACTTTGGGTTTGGCAAAGTTTTCCTAAATAAGACACTAAAAGCTGCAACTGTGAAAATGAAAATCAAGTCATAAATTGAGCTTTAAGAAAATTTAAAATATTTGTTCTTCCAAAGACCTTCTAACAGAATGAAAAAGCAAGCCACAGACTGGGAAAAACAAACATGCATGATTTGCAAAACATCCATCCAACAAAGGATTTTACAACTCAATAAGAAGTCCAACAACTCTTTCTAACTCTCATTCCTAACTGCACATGGGCAAAACTTTTGAATAGGCTTACCAAAGGAGATGGTAGATGGTAATTATTGAGCTTCTCACTTTTGATGCTAATTAATAAAACCACAGGATAAATTAATGATATTACCAAACCTTTTTTCATATTTTAATTAATTCTCTAGAAAAACTATGATAAATAGATTCACTATATCATAGGTTAAGAGTATTTCACAATTCTTGATAAATTACATCTTATTAGATGATTGTAATAATTTACACAAATATAATACAATGTCTAAGAGAGCTCATCTTTTCACTCTTGATGCTAACTAATAAAAAATTACAAACTTAATATTGGTAACAGTAACATCAGCAACATAGAAAGGAAATGATTTCTTCTTTTCATATAGCCACCAAAAAGCAGATATTATTTTGCTCCAAAAAATTTTATTCTGGAAAATATTTTTTGAAAGGAATCTTGAAACACACCTCAGAGACTGTTGCTGTGTCTTCTGGGCCAGTTTTTTGGCCTGTAAATGCTGAACCATAGTTCTAGCACTAATCATTATGTCTATGGGTTTTTCCACGAATGTTTCTTAAACATCTAATCTAGTATACATTAAATTTTCTGCCTTTTTCAACAGTAGTTTCTTTTGTAAACATTATAGATATGATTATATAGATGTATAGACTTACTATCATCACTTAATGGCCAAATAATTTTCCATCTTGTGATGCCATACATATAAACACATACATATACCAACAATATCATAATGGACCCTCAAAACATTAATCTAGTGAATAAAATTGAATGTAAACATTTCCTAACTGCTAAGACACTGGGTTGCCTTCCATTTTTTACCATAATGAATTATGCTGCAATCATCTTTTGGGCTTCCCAGGCTTCCCAGTGGTAAAGAATCTGCCTGGCAGTGAAGGAGCTGCAGAAGATATGGGCTCAAATCCTAGGTCAGGAAGATCCCTTGGAGGAGGAAATGGCAACCCACTCTAGTATTCTTGTGTGGAGCTTCCCAAGGACAAGAGGAGCCTGTCATGTGATAATCCATAGGGTTGCCAAGAATAGGAAATGACTACTTGCTTGCTTGCTCCATTATCTTTTTGCACCTAAGTCTTTTTTCATATTTTGAATCAATTCTCTATAAAAAATTATGATAAATAGATTTATTATATCATAGGTTAAGAGTATTTCACAATTTTTGATAAATTACACCTTATCAGATAATTGTAATAATTTACACAAATATAATACAATGTCTAAGAGATCTCATCTTGTCACAATTGGCAATATCATTAGTTTATCCTGTGCTGAGTGGACCAAAATATACCATCTCATTTTAACTTGCATTTCTTTATTTATAAGAAGGGTAAGTATATTTCATACATTTACCTATTAAATATTTGGTCCCTAAATGAAGCATTAATATTATTTGCTTATAGAGTTTAAAAAATTATAACAGTCATTGGTATAAGGAAGATAATTTAACTTACAAATTTGTAACAAATATTTTTAGAAATTATCAAAAATATTTGCATTTTGTTGCCCTTTTTCATATAGAAGTTTAAATTTTTATGCACTCAAATTTAACTGTGTGTATTTATTTTTATCTTACAGATTCTATAGTCTGGGAAATCATTTGCTCTTTAGAATTTGAATAAATGTGTATTATATTTCATGCTCTTTTATGAAAATTTCTTTAACACTTTTTAAAATGTGAGCCATGCATACAGAAAATTATATAAAATACTTATAGACAACATAAGGAATAATTATAAAGTGAATGCCTCAGTGAGAATGCCTGGTTCAAGAATCCAGTATTCCTGGTACCCAAGAAGTCCCTTGTATGTGACTCCCTGGTCATAAACCCTTTCTTCCCCTCTTTGGGTGCCCATCAACTATCCTGATTGATGAACACAACTTTCTTGCTTTAGAAAAACTGTTCGCTACTTATGTATGCAGCTATAAGCAGCTGAGTTTGCCTATTTTTACCTGATAGATGGCACCACACTGTATGCATCTGTTTGTGTCTGTTTCCTCTGCTCAACACTAGTGTCATGATGAATACAGTGAAGCGAAAGTCGTTCAGTTGTGTCTGACTCTTTGTGACCCCATGGACTGTTCTCCAGGCCACAGTACTGGAGTGGGTAGCTGTTCCCTTCTCCAGGGGATCTTCCCAAACCAGGGATTTAACCCAGGTCTTCTGCATTGCAGGCAGATTCTTTTCCAGCTGAGCCACAAGGGAAGCCCAAGAATACTGGAGTGCGTATCCTAGCCCTTCTCCAGCAGATCTTCCCGACCCAGAAATCGAACCAGGGTCTCTGGCATTGCAGATGGATTCTTTACCAACTGAGCTATCAGGGACTATAAAATTCCTATAAATTATAAGAAAACCAGACATCTCAGTTTAAAATGGGCAAATATAAACGGCCATTTTTTAAGTGGTTAAAATTCACCATTTATAGCTCTAGTAAGTTCTTTTCCTTTGCTATGAAGGCCATTCTAC